TGATTTCTTAGAAAATTTATTTTTTATCATTTAGATCAATCTCAATATGAAAATCGATATTTACTATTTATATATAACAATTGTTTATTTTTGATTATTCAAATTAATCTCAATAATACAACGAACAGTAAGCACTTCTTGAGAAAACTTATGTATCTTTTTTATTTTGATCACTATCTATAGCAACATAAATGGTAAGTAATTGTTTAGAGAAAAAATTGTTTTCTTTTTTCATTTAGATCTACCTTAAGACCAAAATGAACACTAAGTATAAATAGAAAAATATTGCGAATATAAAAATATTGCTTAGATCTATTTGGACGACATAATGAATAGTAACGCATTTATTTAAAAAGAAAGAAATATTTTTTTTTATTTAGGCCACTTTCAAGATCAAAATGAAGAGGGAACATACTTGGATAAAAAATTACTTTTAATTACTTACGTCATACGGGAAGAAAAAAAATACTGTGGTATTTCCAGTCAGTCTCACCTATTCTAATAGCTGCGAATGAGTTGTTAATTCGTTATGTTTTTATCTAAGAGTTACTCGGACTATAGATCAGATAGAATGTTTTAGTTTTTTACATATAAAGATTCGCTTTACAAAGGAATTTTAAATTTGAAAGAGACAAATTTTGTTTACAAGGAGTTCAGACGTTTGAGAAAATTGTGAGTATTCAAATTGAGCATAATATGATAGGGTTCTTCGTCGTTAGGTCATTTCATAGATGCAATCTAAGAACGATTCAACTGCGAACCATTAGATCATTAGTATACTCGTACTTTCTGTTCTTCTTCTTTCTTTAGTGGTATCGAGTTTTTTATACAACACGCAAGCCTTAATTCAGTACTTTGTTGTACTTTACTTTTGTAAGGGTACGACCAAGCTCCTTTTTTTAGACTCGACCATGAATTTCTGAGGAAGATAGTTACCTAAAAAAGGGTCTATACACTTTTTTAAATGCATTTTCAGTGATGCAGCAGTTTAAATCTTTCATTGCTACGTTCTATGTCGTTTCATGTCAGTAATATTTAAGATAATTGAAGATGTGTTTTTAAGCTAGTTGGAAAAGATAACATAAAAAATTTAAATTACTGTATCACTAAAAATGCATTTGATAAAAATGTATAGGACTCTTTGTAGGATTGTCTTCTTTAGAAATTTATGGTGGAGACTAAAAGTAGAGCTGGATAGTACTCTTTCAAAAGTAAAATATAACTATGTACTGAATTGAGGTTGGGATGTTGTAAAAAACTCCATACCGCTCTAGCAAGAAGAGAAACACAGATAACTGTTATTCACAAAATACAACTAATAAACGCATAAAATAAAATTTTCGAAAATAGTTCAAAAAAGTGGCATACAATTTGACGCTTAATTTTATGTTTTTTAATGCGTTTAAACGCTCAAAAGTTTTTCACTATTTTTGAGAAAAAAAAGCAGCCGTTTTTTGCCATCAAAAATTTCGATGCAAAAAATCTGTACAAAGGGGACAAGTTATATAGAAAATTAGACATACTTTTTTTGATACTAAATTAGTACAAAAAATGACATGCTTGTCTGCCCGGGCTGTTTTCAACCATCCTCAGTAAAATGACAAAAATCGCATTTCCTTCTATCTGAGATCTTTCACACATATACAAAAACAAAAACTAGTGAGAACGCTTAGAGATTTAGGCCATATTCATAATTACAGTTTAGATAGTGAGATAGATTCACATATATCTCCATCTATATCTATTTATGATCGTTTGGATATCGAAAGCAAAATATGTGACTGAGATTGATTATCTACATTGAAAGCAAACCGTTACATATTCAACTATTACACTTTACACAATATCTATAGATCTCTGAAGAGTTTATAAGCAGAGAGCATTGCAGCAATAAGGGTATCCGGCATACATTTAAAGGCTTATTATTCTTTGTATAAAGGTAGATCACAGGATAGGTTCTGATAAAGGGTTTATTATGCATCGCATAAGAGTAGATTACTTAGCAATTTCAGATAAAAGGCTTAGTATTATACGCATACGGTTATATTATTGTACATTTTCATCATAACAATTCATTATTCTCTATCTAACGACTGAGTGACCTACACTTTGTTCGAAAGAGTTCATTATTCAACAATTCTTTATGTCACGTCATTAACCGTTACTGGAACTTGTGAATCTAATATATCGTTTGTATATGCCTTGGCACAAAACCTTTTGAGCGTTGTTGATTGTCGTAAACCTTCGAGAGTATTTTATATTCTACGATTTTTTTTATAGTGTAGCTACGCCTTATTGATTGTAATTGTGTTAACTATTTTCTGAATTGGAAAATTTCCGAATATGTCTAAACACGCTAAAACAAACTTATAAAAGATACGTTGAGATAGAAGAATGAGATTAGACGATTATCTAGAAGGTTGTGAGTCGATCATTCAGGCCTCTGCAAAGTCTCCAAAATAACTTCATGCTTGAGTTTCAAAATTTTCGATCCAAGTGTTTGACTTTAGCGAACCACTTCAACTGACTTTATACAGTGTCTTCTAAATCATCATTCTGTACTTTTCTTGATTGAAAAAATTCCAGAAGCAGCTAAGATTCAAAAAACTCTTCGAAAATTTTCAATGAGTGGCGCCATCGATCTGTATGTCTGTTTACATCGCTAATTCTGTCATTTCACAGCTTCACAGAACTGAGAGTCAATAACACCGGTCTCACAACATTTTACTTCTATCACAGTAATATTGAGACCTAAAAAAGTACTGTTATATAACTTTGAGATCATTAGTAGTACCTTAATCAAAGCGTTCAATATCATAGAATGCAAAGGATGAGGATGGATAAGGTCGTTTTGCGGCCCTATTCAGATTTGATTCATTTGTGTCTAGCTCGAATTTAGAATATCATTATAACAGCTTACCAAGCTCCTTTGTTTCGCTAGTAGCCTAGACCACTTGATTAGACCCAAAATTAATTGTTGAGCCTCTCGTGCACTAAGAAAGCCTTAGATTTCGACAAAAACCATTCGATATAGCGCAAAGTTTTGAGCTCTACACAAATCTGAACATTCTATAGACGAGAAAAACTGTATCAGAGAGAAAACATGTGATTTGAAAGCAAAAAATGGTCTATATTTATTAGATCAGCCCGTTTTTGCTGCATTCGACCATAAAGCAAGTTGAGGCGCAGAGTACAACTTGGCTATCAGAGGCAAATTTTTGATCTCTATTTGATGGTACTATTTCAAACAACAATATGGCGGTGAAACAGGGTCGATTCTACTATTGTTCACGTGACACAGCAATAATGAGGCGAAAAGTTGTTTTTTTTGAGCCGCATTCGAGTCCAATTCAGCGGGAGAGCTTGTTGTAAAACTCAACGAAAATTTGTAGAATGTTTATGGATGATTCAGGATAATGCGAACTTTTCGGAATTGAAGGGAAGTTCATCTCTGTTAGGTTACTATGTATCCTACAATTTTGTATGTGAAGGAAATAAAAGTACGAACGAAAACTAGCCTCATGTTAGTTCTGACCAAGTTTCACTCTGCGCCTAAACTCGCTCCATGATCGAATAGAGCGAAAACGAGCTGATCTAAGAAATATAGGCCATTTTTCGCTCCCGAATCACATATTTTCTCTCTGCTGTAGTTCTTCTCGTCTGTAAAATATTCACATTCGTGTAGAACTCAAACTGTGCACTATACAGAATACTTTTTGCTGGAATCTAAGGCTTCCTTAGTGCATGAGAGACTCAATAACTGATTGTGGGACTAATCAAGTGGTATAGGCTATTAGAAAAACACAAGAGCTTGATGAGCTGTTACAGTGATATTTTCGCTTAGTACTTTTGACTCAACAAGTGCATGATTTTACTAAAACGATTTTGAAGAAAAAAAAAATTTCCATGATACCTGGAGGGATCACATATACGAAAAATCTCGGAGTGGTTGTTCGGGAAATTATCTTACAAAACATGATTGTGAGTATTTATTGTTAGTAGAAAAAAATAATATCTATGTGTTGGTTTGTTTTCGCGTTCTCTTTCCACATACGTGTGTATTTCTTTCTTTTTTCTTCAATCATTGGAAATTGTTGGTTCTTTCGTTTCCTTTCATCTAACAACTCCATATTCGTTTCTGTTTTCTCAAGGTCAAGCAAACACTAATATCAACCTTGGTGTTTTTTCTTCTTATTACATACTAATATGTCTATTGCGTATTTTGTAATACGCTATACTCTATCGATATATATGTATTGTTATTAGTCTTGTTATACGTTAGTCCTTAATGGTTAGTGTTGTCATTTGTTCTTCTCATTCTTTGATATAATGAAATTCAAACTCACATTAAATAAAACAAAACTTACGATGATTTGGGACCATCCCTGATTCGAACCAGACACAAATGATCGGAATCTGAATAGACCCGAAAAACGGGCTTGTCTGCTCTCATCCTTTCATGAAGTTTAAATCTGGAAGTTTGAATTTTTCATCTTCTACTGGCAGATAAAAACGAAAAATTAGTATAGAACAGACTCGTATTTATGATCGGTATTGAATTAAAACACGATCGCTGTGGTATCCTATGTATAATCCTAAAATCAATTTTAATGTTTCAATTGTTTTTAGAAAAGATTATTCAAAGACCTTGTCGTACATTTACAGAGGCATTTGTATGCGAACATATTAGCAAACAGGAGTTGTTTATAAGTCATGATAAAGAAAGATAGTACATTGGATTTTGATATCTAATGAATAAATAGATAGCAATAAGAAAAAGACATTTGACGTGAGAAGAATTAGAACTGGAACATATATTTTCCCTATCGTATTGACATACAAAATGTATCATAAAAACATAATATTATAGCAATATCCTTTTGCACTGGAGATAATGTTACTTATGTGCTCTTATTCTGATGAGAATGACATACAAATATAAAATAGTTTCGAACAATAATTCGTTTATTTTCTAGTTTAAGTTTCTCGTAAAATATACTATGCCTAAGAACCAGGTTTTCAGCGAGCATGTTACTGGAAAGAATCAACCACGTAAATGGTGGCATCGTCGTCGAATTACAATCACTAGTATCTTTGTCATCATTTTAATAATTTTTGGAATTACACTTGCTCTATTGTTAAAATTTGTGATTCTTCCACAGAATAACTTACAAAGCACTACTATTGCTACCATAACACGATTATCAACACCATCATTAATAACAACACTAACATCAACCTTACTAATAACATCGACAACACCATTGCCATTAACATTATTTATATCATCGACCACAACATCATTGAGAGCTTCACACTCCTCAACCTCAATATCAGCATCGATGACAACATCTATAACGACGCCTACAAAAACATCTACAACAATATCAACAACAAAATCTACAACAAAATCTACAGAAGCATCTACAATAACATCTACAACAACTTCTACAGAAACATCAACAACAACATCTACAGCGACGTCTACAGAAACATCTACAACAACATCAACAACAACATCTACAACAAAATCTACAGAAACATCTACAATAACATCTACAACAACATCTACAACGACGTCTACCGAAACATCTGCAATGACATCTACAACAACTTCTACAGAAACATATACAACAACAACAGCAGCATTGACAACAACAACGATAAAATCAACAACATCAATGGCAATATTAACAACAGAAACAACAGCATCAACGACAACAACGTTGACATCAGCATCATCTTTATCAACAGCATCTACGACCACTGCTCAGCAGCCAGGTAAGCTGTAAAGTAATGTTCAGTAGTTTTCATAAGTGCTTCTTCTAAACTACATAAATGTAGTTGTTTTGAATCCAACAGTACTCTCAGGTTAGCTAAAGATTACCATTAAAACAATCAGTGATCCTGTCATGAATAATTTAACTTTTATTATAGAAATAAAAGAGTAATAGTAATCTGTGTGTTACCTATTTTCGTTATTATCGCAATTGGCCTCACTTTGTTGACATCTATAGCACAAACTCCATGTTTTCTCTTTGTTTGATGTTGAGGATTTAAAAAGTAGATTTCATGTGAATGTATTGAATTCTAAAGAGTCACACGAATTACTTTATTACAGACACAACTGTCTAAAAATGTGCTGCAAAAAATCTAATTTAGTGATGTAATTATGCAGTAAGCAGAACCATGAGATCAGAACAGAATATATGTTGATCAAAAACTACTATTTCCTTTCTCTAAATAAAATGGAATGTTAATTGAAGAAAAAAAACATGATTTCAATATAACAAAGTTTTATCATAAAATAAAAAACATCATCATATTCGCTCTGTTAAAGCACATCTATTTCATCTTCTACTTTTCTGTCAATTAGAAACTAAAAAATAACTACTAAAATCATTCTTTGCTGTTAATTATGTCGGTCCCTTGATACCTTGTTCCTAAATATGGCAAAATCATATAAAAGACAGAGCAATCAGAAATATACTTGTTGGCGCTATCACTTTTGTAATCGTGCACTATCATTTTCATATAATCTACAAATTCGATACAAGAACTGCATATTTGTATGATGTGATCAAAAATAGGTTTTGTTTGGTTGTTGTTTCAATCGAAGTAAATATGGTCCGTAATTACAGTTTCGTTTCCGTACTTAGTTTTCTAATTAGAACTTTGTGAGATCACAAGGCTGGAGAGGACATATTTTAGGTCTATACCTGGATTTGACAAGATAAGGTCAGTGCCTTAACAACAATAGGATACAGTGTGAGAAAAAACAATGACAAAGTTGTTCGTTTTTGACTGCCGAAACTGGCAGAAAACAAGCCAGAAATGGAGATAGGGTTCGGCTTGAGATTTAGGCATTTCTCGCAGTGTCTCTTTCATCAGGACATTTCCATTGCCTCCATTATAATTAATAGAAATACAAACTTACTTTTTCTGAGATTAACACATGCGGTTCTACAGCAAAAATACAAGAGCTACTGTGATAATATGTCATGAGCGGTTTTTTTTACAACAGATTTAAGATTTTTGGACATTTTCATGAAAAAGAAACGAAATGGTTTTTTTCGAAGTGTTAAAACATTCGTCCGTGATTAAAGGACATTTAAGGTTAAACAATACTCATTCTACTCAGAATGAATAAATTCAAATGTTTTTATCTAGGATGGTCTAATACTGGTAGCATGAATTATGCGCGAGTGTCACACAGAGCAACGCTATTAGCAAATGGAAAAGTGTTGATTACTGGTGGATATAATAACGGTTTTCTAACTAGTGCTGAGTTATATGATCCATCAACAGAAATTTGGACATTAACTGCTGCCATGAATGATGCACGACAGGGTCACACATCATCCATACTAACCAATGGAAAAGTGTTAGTTACTGGTGGCTTTTATCTGAATAGTGCTGAATTATATGACCCATCAAAAGAAAATTGGACAATTACTGCTACCATGAATTATGCGCGGCAGTGGCATACAGCATCCGTATTATCGAATGAAAAAGTGTTAGTTACTGGTGGAAGAAATGGTAATGTTTATCTCAATAGTGCTGAATTGTATGATCCATCAGCAGAAACGTGGACATTAACATCAACGATGAATCATGCACGCCAAGGCCACACATCAGTGGTGACAAATGGAAAAGTATTAGTTGCTGGTGGATATGATGGAAATACTTATTTAAATAGTGCTGAATTGTATGATCCATCAACAAACACTTGGACATTAACTTCAACCATGAATTATGCAAGACAGAGCCACACATTATCTGTATTTAAAGATGGAAAAGTGTTAGTTACTGGCGGAGAGAATGGCGGTTATCTGAATAGTGCTGAATTGTATGATCCATCGCTGGGAACGTGGACATTAGCTACTGCCATGAATCATGCACGATATGACCATGTAGCATCCTTATTATCAAATGAAAAAGTATTAGTTATTGGTGGGTGGAATGGTGTTGCTCTTAATAGTGCTGAGTTGTATGATCTATCAACAGGAACTTGGATAACTACTTATAGCATGAATTACGGACGACAGGGTCCCACATTATCCGTTCTAACAAATGGAAAAGTATTGGTTACTGGTGGATGGAGTGGCAGTACTAATCTAAATAGTGCTGAATTGTATGAACCAACAACAGACACTTGGACAACTACTGACGGCATTAACAATGCCAGAGTGTGGTACAGATCATTCTTATTAACAAGTGAACAAACATTGGTTCCTGTCGGAAAGAATGGTAATAAGACTTTGAAAAACACAGACCTATATTAATCATTTCGAGCAAATAAACGTTATAAACGGCTTTTAACTTTGATGTGATAGGCCGTCCACTTGATAATTTTCGTAAAACACAACTGTTCTATTTTATTAATAATGAATATTTTCTTAATAAACACCTTTTATTCGATTTAGAGTGTGAAGGTGGAGGTAGAGGTAGAGGTGGATGTTAACGTTTGACTTCTCTACACCCACACTCTAATTAAGAAACCATCAATCCAGCTGTTTGTCTTACAATCTAAGAAATTCATCAAAATTAACATGATTGTCAGGCTCACCGAAGATAGAGGAAGCAGACACAGATGAAGATCCGGAAGCACAGACCGAGGTTGAGTTCCAAAACGGAGCTTGAAATCGAAGAGGAAATTGGTACGGTGACAATAGAAACAGAATAACTTGCTCTGGAAATTGTTGTCGCTTCATTGTCTAAATTTTCGACAAGCCATCGTAAAACGAGAGCAGTCAGTGGAAATATAAATCGATCTCCTGGTCGTGCCCCATTTGTGTTGACATCGTATCCATAAATTTGATTGTCTTTCTTCCGTACTCATTTGAGAGTAACAACTGCCATCATTTGTTCGGCTGCTTCTCGTTCAAACCATTTTTCACCATTTTTGAGAAGAATTTGTGATGCATATTCATTATTCAAACAAACCGGATATATTACCGATGCATCAGTAAAGATGAAACGATTAGGTATCCATGAAGATAAGAAATTTTAGTTAACAGCTGGGAGTAAAGTAGCAAGAAATATCTTAGCGACTTCATGCAAATCTGCAGGATGTATGTGAGACGCCGATAGGATGGCAGATTATATTCACCTTGTTTGCTCAAATGAAAAAGGAGCTGTAGTCTATCCAGATTGTAGACGAGCAAAAACACTTTGGCACATCTACTGGGATTGTGCGGGTGAATACCTCCCCAAGTTTGAATATCACCGTTTGGACTGTAGTAAAATCCCCATTTACCATGAACACAAGCATTGAGCTCATGTAGTCTGTAAGCAGCACACTTTTTACGTGTATGGTTAGGGTTGTAGCATGGTCGCTGACAAGGGACATTACATTCTGGAAACCAACTACAGTTCCATTTTTCATCAAAGGGTGTGGGTGTGGGTGTAGTTGTGGATCTTCCTTTCACCTACACCCACACCCACACACCCACACACCCACACCCACATCACCCACACCCCACACCCCGAAACTGGTTATGGCTTTCTTTTTATAATACTCACCCCTGTAATCTCCTCTTATTCATCGATGAATGAGAGTGTGAAGCATTGATCTCATACATAGATCACAGGCGAAAGTAGTCTTCGGACTTTCATTAGTTATGTTACTATAGTGAGTGATACGTATTAGAGTTACAATGTATGAGAGTCCTACCTACGAGATTCTCGCTGATCTCAGCCATCTGACGAGTTCTTTAGCCGAGACGAAACGTTACCATCATTGTAGCTAGATGTATATTCAGTAGAATAAACTTACCTTTCTTTATTTTGTATATATCCCATTTCAGAAAAAGATTATAAAATCTGAAGTCTTTGTAAAAAAAAGTGCACAATTTAATACTTTATCAGAATTGCAAGACAAAATCGCTTCAGCTTTTTTTCAAAATTGCTGTAGATGACTAATAATGAACATACATGTGATGTTGCTATTTCCCACGAGAAAAAATGAGACAAAAATTCTAAAAAGTTGTGAGTTCAAATATTAGCAAGTAAGGTTCATTCATTGCTGGATACAACATTCGGAACAAACTGACTCGATTAGAGAAAAAAGATCAATAGAAAAAAGATATTCGACGGAACACAACGATTAACCAATTTAGTGCAAAAATGGCTTTCATTCAAGATGAAAAGAAAGAGTTGAAGAACAATCAATAAGGATTTTGGATCAATCATTGACAGAGTTCTCAATCCGTTAATTTCTTGCATCGACTAGACCAATGTATTCATATAATGTTATTTCCGCCTGTTACTGAACATTAGTTGCAACTAAACTTGTGATTTTGAATTTTTTTTTCTCATGGGAAACAGCAATATTACACACATGTTTTCTTTGAGTCGTCTCAAAAAATCTTGGAAAAAGAGCTGAAGCGTTTTGGTCTTGCAATTCTGGCAGAACATTAAATTGTGCATCTTTTTACAAAGACTTAAAATTTTATAATCTTTTTTGGAATAGAATATAACAAAATAAAGGATGTTGCAAACATTTTATTTCACCCGGTATACGTTCATCGTTCAGACTGTTAACGGTAAAAGTGTAGAGTGTATTTGCGTGTGACCCTTGTATGTCTCAAACGATCGGAGCAGAAGTCAATATAAGTCCACGATATCACAGACTGTCGCTCACTTTCCGAGCGAGGATGACGCTATTGATGACATCGTTTCGCGGATGCAACACAGCCTCGACCTCGAGCTCCGGAATACATTGTAGGCTCGATTCTGATACTGCTGGATAGAGAAGCGTTCTTGCTCCGTCGACGCTCCTCATGAGGAACCGCGTACCGTTGTCGGCATTGCGTACTGCATTGGCGATGCTCTCCCACTTCTCGGCGAGATTGGAACCAAGAAGCGCCGCCACTATAATCAAGTCGATCCTGACGAATGCATCTCTTGGCAAATCTGCTGCATTGCTCTGCAGGAAATGGAAACGATGATGTATCTTCTCGTCAACGACGCTGTGAATCAAGCGGCGTGAGCAATCTATTGCTTTCGCATGAATATCAACGTTGACAACGTACGAATCATTCTTGGACATGGGCATTTGCTGAACCCAGATTAGCGAGGTCAAAGGCAGTGGACCCGAACCAAGGAAGAGAATACGACGAGGATCGGCACCAAAAGCACAGGCGAGATGATATTCCATCTGTGTGAGTCTAGAGTAATTCCCATAATATGGAAATCGAAGCAAATGGTCTTCGGCTTGCTTCCGCGGTTTACCAACGACTTCTTGCGCCCATTGGAGCTCCAGTTCAAACTCACCGACTCTGCAAAGGTCAATCAGGCGAGGTTGAATAGATTGGATGTCCCGATCATGGTGAAGGAAGTCGGCAAGATACGACGCGTCCATTCGTTGGCTTTTCACAAGCTCTACTAAGCTCCCAAACAGTCTGTTAACAGGCTCAGATGGCTTGAGGCTCTTCAATTCCGACAAAGCGATGAAGAGGCGAAGCAATTCCCCCTTCAACTTGTTGGCTTCCTCATTACCTTTCACAGTATCGTTACTGCTTGATCCAGTAGTTGTATTTGTGAGAATTACGTCCTCGGTTCTCGAGATTCGGCGATTTCGAGTGAGCAGCTTACTTAATATGCCATTGAGACAAGCAGCAGTTTTGTCCTTCAAAAATGACGGAATCGGTGGCATGGCAATGTTGTCTGAGGATGAGAGGCTGTAAAAAGTGGTCGGGTCGGTGTCGCTGTTAGTTCTGAAAAGTTGCTGATCTTGCCTCTGTTTGGAGAGAGCTTACCTTTTTGTATTTATACAATTGATACACGTTGCTTTTTTTCTAGATTTTTCTCCGACGTTAAATACGAATAATTTGTTTTTTCGCTTATACTCTATAACAAAATATGCCTAGTAGTAATTGAAGGTGCGCTTATCAAAAATAAATTAAAGGTAAAAAACCAACAGCATCACTGATCGTATGATAATTTTCTCTCACTTTCATTTACGTGTCATATGAAGCGTGACTTCAGTTTCATTGCATTAGATACTTTGTCTTATACGTTGTATCATTTTGTTTCATTCTCTCTAACAAGAACGAACGCGACAGCAAGGACAGCGTTAGTATGATGTCTTTTTCTCATTATGCATAGGATTGACATGTTGATAATGCGAACGAAACAAGAAAAAATATAATTTCAATTTTAATTGAGGCAATAGTTTAACAACGATTTCTACTTGCCAAAAGTACTGTTATTGAAGTTTGAAAATTATGAAAGATCAAAATGGTTAGAACCAATTTAAAATGAATGGAACAGTTAAATGTAGGCTTTACATATTGGTATAGCAGTTAATAAGCAGAAGTTTTATATCAGTTATCATCCAAATTTCATCCAATAACACCCAAAACTTTAGTTTTGCCATGCATAGAATGAATGCATCATCACTCACAATTTTTCTAGAGTGATTTTCTATATGTATTCATTCGAAATATGTATTTAATAAAAAATAATTTTGTTTTCTTGTGTTATATTAACTGCTATGCTTTCATTATTTTCTAAGATTCACATAGAAATCATAGTCAAATTTTGTTTATTCATATTTAAAACTCACACAATTTAAACGTATATATGTCACAATGACAATGAGAAAAACTCCTGTTGTATACAAACATGCATTTATTGATAGCTATGCTTTCGTTATATGTATATGAAAGAGAACTATATATGGTTGCATATAATTGGCAAATAATGAAAATAATTGCTCATAGTTTTTCCGCTAAAACTGGTGATATTGAAGACACGAATGTTTCTTTCTTAATTCAAAAGTAAAGAAACATCAGCATTGCATTACATGCTTCATGTTTTTATTCAAATACAGAAGAGCGATCTCATCAATTCTCAATTTGATCATTATATTTTTTTATTTTACATAAATTTGTATTACAAATACATAACACAAACATTTGTTAAAAACATTAGTATAAAATTTTAATGATAAGTAAAGAATTTTCTCTGCCAAATAAAACAAAAAAAGAATAATTGTTAACTCATGAAAAACTGTTATGCGAATAGTAAAAATTTGCGTTTTCGGTGATTGAGAAATGGCCTGGTTATATATTTTTCTTTTACTAACATTCATCAGTAAGCTCATATTAGAATTGATAAAAAAATTACCAATAGTGAACAAATAGTAATATTGCATTGCTTTTTTTTTCTACACAGAATATTGAGAAAATGCATCAAAAGCTTTAAATGTAAAAAAAGATACAGATAATCATTACAGTCGTAATACTGCGGCATGCTTCTTATTCATATATTTCAAGTTCTTTGATTGAAGAAAAAAATGAGAGAAACGGCCTTCGTTATTTTTTCTTTGTTCGATCGTTACACCATTGAATAACTATATCAGAAAATTTTAAAGATATACAGTATAATTTACTTTTACATGTATAACTGAAATTTTCGACTTTTATAGTACGGTCATCATTAGGAAAGAAGACATCATTTATAATGAGTTTACTTTTATTCATGTCAAACGATAACTGATGAAAAGAAATTAAAACAACAAAAACTGTGTTACCATGCACAGTAAGTAAATAAATTCATATAAGTATAACCATGAGAACGAATAACTGATCATTTTAAACCTACTCCAGATTTTATGAATATCTTCAATTTGATAATATCTTAAGATATCAAATATTTAATTCTGCAAGAACATAATTATTAAGAAAATAACTAAACTTGAATAAAACAGTGGTATATCAAACCATTTAAAAGAAATTCAGTTTTATTTAATTTTTGTTGTTATAATTCTTGATCACGTCAAGACAGTGCGAATGAGACAAAGAACTCATGATGGTTGTTCATTGAATAATATAGAAAAGCATAGTAAGTCTTACTTTGTATTTGTTGCTTTCGAGAAATTTTTTCCACGTTTGTGCTCGAAAAAACGTAGACAATTGAAATGATAAATAGAATTAGAATGCTGAAATTACATAATATATATGACAACATGGTTGATTCGCACGAAGCACTCCGTCGTGGCAGAGCACGATTTGTCATTGAAAAGGTGCTTTTGGTCAATATTTTGTTAAACCCAAGTAATGATGTGAAGTTCATTGTTCCCAACAGTTCTTAACCCTCGGATGGCGTTTACGTTTTATCACACGAAAGACGTTTGTGGGTCCAGCCGGACCCACATGTAAATGAGTAAGAGAAATCTGATTTTTCTGTGTAACTTTCGGTAGACATTGATGGATTGAAGATATTCATCATGAGCTTTTCAGATACAGGTACAGTGCCACAGATCTTGACGTGAAAACATCTGCAGTTTACAAGACACTTTTAAGAAGGGATTACAATAACATTACCAATTTAAAATATTATTTAAAGAAAGTTCAGGTCTGATTACACCGCAATCTAGTAAATGCTCTCGCGTATGTCAATATATATATAATCACTCATAGTAAAAACGATAAGAATTTCTTGCTTGTTTATTTTTATTTTTAACAGCGAATAAAATATGGTACAATATGATGAAATCAATATGACTAATAAACTCCTTTTGCTGTTCTTGCTTAGATTTATCTTATACGTTTATTTCTAAAGTTTTAGCCGATTGAAGAATTTGTTTGAGGGGTTTGGGTGTGGAGTGAGGTGTGGGTGATGATTTGATCTAAACCGACATTCTCACCCACAGCCACCCACACCCACGCCCTATGGTTCATTTAATATCTATAAAATATACATTACTATGATTATTATAATTATTGTCATTATTATTTTATAATTGTCTATTTTAATTATCATATGTTCTTTTTTGTAGATTGAAAATAGTCGTTTGAAGGGCGTGGATGTGACGATGGTTCTTGTTTCTTATCGACACCCAAAACCACACCCATCCACCCTTCATCACCGAGAAGGTTCTGCCCGTTGTAACGAAGTAGAATACGATGAATAGTGATAGAGGGTTTTGCATTAGGTAGCAGGTTGCTTTATCTGTTATTTTTGAAAAGGACGAATAAATTCTGCTGGAACATGCCATATTCCATGAAATATTTGATTTTTATTTCCACTCTTTTATATGATATATACGAAGCTTTTTTAAAATTTTTTCATCGATTGCAAATATTTTGTTTATATTCATGAAATGAATGCATTGATTCTTTTTTTTAAATCACAATAAAAGTATCAGAAATAATGCAATCAAAAATTGTACTTTACATTACTGTGATAAATAAGAATACATATGTTAATGAAGGGAAGAGCTCTTAAAACAAGTTTCATAGCTGCTGCGTCATCTAATATTTTCTTTCAGGATAAAAATATGATGAAATTTTTCCGATAAATTACTCAAACTTTACTGCAGCAAATATATAGATCAGTACTGATGATTTCCCACATAAAATTGACTTGTTTCAAATCCCCTTTAAACAAATTTCGAATCATTTTTCATTAAAAAATTGAGCAACTTGAATACAGTATATATCAAAGTTGATTTCGAAAAAAACATCAAAAAATATCTTAAACCAACTAGATTCCTCGTGAGCAGGGTGTGAGTGTAGCTGTGGATCTAACTCATCTCTTAGTTCATACCCACACACACATCCACATCCAAATTCAAATCATAGAATGTCTGGCTTAATAAAATGCTAATTCTATCTATGATTTAGATTTATTTCGATTGATTTTCATTGAGTTTTTAATAGATGTCAATATTCATTATGATTATTTTTTTATATTCCTTAATTTTGAATCATTTCCGATAATTTCTATTCAGTGATGATGACTAGATATTTATTTCTATATGCTTATAGAAATAAAAATAAATAAGATAAATCAGTAGAAATGAAACAAATCAAAATATTTTTTTATTATTATTTTTTATCATTAATAAATAAATAAAAATAAAAAAATATTTTCTTATTATTAATCAATTCTATATCACATTTAATTTATTAATAAATATTTTCTATTCAATTCATATTATCAATTGATAATTATTCAATGAAAATCTAAATAAATAAATTCAATAAGAATTTTTCTTTAACATATTTATTAATTATTCATATTCAACATATATATATATATATCGTTCTCGTTCAATTTTTATTTATTTTATTTCTTTAAATCATATTAAATATTGGAGATTTATTACTAATCATATTTTATGATGATATTGATATAAAATCTTAAAATATAATATTTACTTTTGCATTATTTCAATTAAAATAAATCATATTGCTATTTATTTATTCAGATATTGTTTTTGTTTTATTTATTGTAGTTGACTTTAAATAATCATTAAGATGATACTAGAATTGCTAATATTCTCAAATATATGTTTCCAAATGAATATTTCCTAGAGAAACAATTAAGAACAAATTCATTTCCATATTCGAATTGATACATACATTGAAAACTTACACTATTTCATATATTAGTATTATGTATTTATTAATCGATACGAGTTTGAATTGAGTTGAAAAGAAAAATAAATACCAAAATTTATATGTCTCTATTAATATTTATGACCAAATGTCAATAGTCATTGAGAGGACTTAGACCATCAATTTTATTCCATGGACGTATAAACAAACGTTCTTTGATCATCTTATATCCATTTGATTTTCGTCTTTCTCTTTATCTATTTTGGTCATCTTCCTATTAATTTCTTATGAATTATATTCTCATTGATGATGGTAATTAATAGAAAGAAATAGCCGATAAATGGATTATATTATTCATATTCAAATCGAACCATCCGTCGATGCTATCTTATATAATATCATTGAGTAAATAGTATGCATTTTATATGGCTAAACGCTGTTTTAAGTAACAAACAGTGATAGCCTATCTAAATAGAAAAACAAACAAAAAAATAAAACACAGCGTTAAATAATTAATGTTGTTTTTTGAAACTACGCCATGTTTCACTTGGTGTATATGTAACACCTTTTCCGAACAATTGTACTGTTTGCATTCCATTACTAAAAAACTTCTTTTGCCAATTTTCATCTGTGTTAATCATAAATCCTTCACATTGTTCATCGGAATTACAAAGTGTTATACCATCAACCATTGGTAAAATGCACTTAAAATCCTTATTTTCAAATCTATTTAGATGATTGTAACATGAATATGATGAAGTACTCTCGATAGCATTTGAATTACTAACAAACATATAATTAAAATTTTGTAATTTTTCGCATGTCTCTTGATTACTATTAATAAACAAAACATATATGCATAAGATCAATTACGAATATATATTAATGTTAAGTTTACTGACTTATTTCCACATGTTGATATTCCATATGTTACAGGAGTATCACGAATAACATTTTGTTTGTCATAAGTACTCCATTCTGATAAACAAGAAATTGGTTTTTGACCAGATTTAGCCAAATGAACGGCAACTTGTCCATTTTTATCGTATTTTTTATGAAACCATTCAGCTGTTGTCATTGTATATCCACCACAATTTGGATCAGAATCACAATGAGCAAGAGCATCAGGAAATAACATAATACACCATTCTGAACCACCCATATTTGACTTATGATTGGTACATTTGTATGTGGAACAATTATGGCATTGACCATCTGGAAGACGAAGATAATTAAAATATTTTCCATTTCTATTTATAAAAATATTCT